TCACCCTAGACATATATGCAGTTTTTAAAAATTCTTTTAGCAAACCATTTCAACACACACATCCTCCACACTGTACATAGTAAATGTACATCTCAGTCACTTATGTGTTTTATAGATAACACCAGAGGTGAAAGTAAGCCGGTATGGCGTACCGACAAGAGCCGGTTTGCCGTACCAGGGTGGCCCGGCTTCCCCAGGGAGCAGTTTAAAGGGCCTGGGGCTCCTAGCAGGGGCTGGAGCCCCAGGCCTTTTAAATTGCCACCAGAGCCCCACTGCTGGAGCCCTGGGGTAGGGCTGCGGGGCTCTGGGAGCTATTTAAAAAGTCCGGGGCTCCCGCTGCTTCTACCACCCCGGCCCTTTAAATAGCCACCGGAGCCCCACTGCCACTAGTCCAGGGCTCTGGCAGCTATTTAAAGGGCCAGGGTGGTAGAAGCAGGGGAGCCACAAGCCCTTTAAATAGCCCCCAGAGCCCAGGGGCTATTTAAAGGGCCCGGGGCTCCAGCTGTCTCTGCCGCCCCGTTCCTTTAAATAGCTGCGGGAGCTCTGCTGCTTCCCCAGCGCTCCTGCAGCTATTTAAAGGGCTGGGGCGGTAAAAGCAGGGCAGCCCTGGGCCCTTTAAATAGCCCTCGGAGCCCCGGGCTGCTGCTGCTACCCCGGGGGGGGGGGCACTTACCTTACAGGGTGGGCTGGGGCTGGCTCTGACTCCCTCAACCACGCCCCTTCTGCCTTAGGCCCCGCCCCTTCCGGGGGCCAGAGCTGGCCCCAGCGTACTGGTAAGTCACTGGACTTACTTTCACCCTTAGATAAGACACAAACGGAAAATACCAAAAAAGGTTCTCATCTGTGGCCCCAAATTAAGAAATAAGAGAAATGCAATATCTATTATTTAAATGGTCTCAACTTCCTAAGTAAAGTTCGTTTGAAGAAAGTTTGTTTCTTTCTGAAATCGTGAGGGCAGCTGTATCAGTGATCAGCAGGTTGCAGTTTTCCATTTTAACTTATTTTTTGTATATAATATATACTCCTTGCAGCATATGCAACAGCATAGGAGGGCATAGAGCAACCAGTGTGCATTTTGGTTCACCTTTCAGAATTAGTATGGGAATCTGTACTGGATCCTGTGTCTAAGATCCCTCATCCTGTGATCCATGAAATTCAGAAAGCAAAGTTGGGAAGTTGTCTGCAAGCAGGGGCAGAAGCTGCCAGATGTTTCTGTTGGTTGGAAGTGGGAAGTGACCCAGACGAGAGGTCTCCGGTTCCATTGTGCTGTTCTTATTCTGCATGATCAGACTCTAGAGGACTGTTTAGCTGGAAATGTTGCCCCATCATTCTGTAGTCAAGGGTCAATGTGGGCAGGAGGAAGCTCATGAGTTTGGAGGCAAATGACCCAGGCACCTCTTCTGCATCACCAGTAGAACTACTTGTCCTTGGAGCTCCTCCTCTCCCAACAGTACTTGGGGATGACCGCTTCCTAGAGATCACTCTTCAGTTTTGGGTCCTCTGTCCTGGACACGCAGGAAGAAGGAAAAGACACAAGGGATGTGGCTTAACAAGGCCAAAACTTTATTAAATTTAACTCGTCTAGAACTATCTGGCAGAAACTTGTCCAGTGCAGGGCATTCTTCTCTCCGTAACCTGTTCACATGGCAGAAGCCTGCCATCAGCTCCTCACCCCTCCATACCTGCTCCCTGCATATTCCTGGGACCCCACCAGCTTCTCCTCTCTGAGTGTTAAGGGGCTGTTTCCTCGCTGGACCAGACACTAGGCATGCCAGCCCTATTTTCAAGCTTCTTTAGGGGATGCCTTCCCCTAAATCCACTTTCAGTTCTGGTAATTTAGGGAGCCAGACCCCAATCAAACAATTACCTGTGCTAACCACTTGCTAAGCTGCGCCTTCTTGAACTTTATCTCCTAATCTACTCACTGGGTTGCTGAGGGGAAGGTGAAAAGAACCCCATCGTTCCCTGGCCAATTTGGCAGGGAAAAATTCCTTCCCAGTCCAAAAAGTTGACTTGAGGGCAGTGCCCACAGGAGACCCCAGTTCTATTCTAATCCCAGGGAGGGAAGGTGGGAGCTGTTGCTCTGAGCTTGTAATGGCAATCCAGCCAGAGGGAAAGGGTGCTTCTGCGTGGGAGCAAGTGGCCTGCTGCTTCCCTGCAGGTCAGCTAATTAGCTGTGATCTCCCTCCTCCTCCTCCTCCCAGCTACCCTTCCCCTTCCTAAACTCGTGAAGGAATTGAACTCCCATGTTGAAGGTAGGGGTGCAGAAGAGACTCTGAAAGAAGCAATTGAGCCCTCTTTCACCAGCCAGCCTAGATCCCTCTCCCCCCAAAGCTGCCAGGGGTACATTTTGAGTAATGTTGGTTGCTCAGTCGGAGATAGGATCTGTTTATAGTTTTCTCTCCCTGTCTCTGTTTCTGTTGTTCTTCCTTGCCTGTCAGTCAACCTGTCCACATTGAGGAACCTCCAGTAACTTTAGCTATGCTGCAACTTTCATCTGAGAAATTATAATGTTCCAAGTTGAAAAATATACATTTGCATTATTTAAAAAGTTATATGCTATTTTTACTTGTAGAAAGATTCATGTTGACAGTCTCAGGTGCAAAGATTGGAATGGACCTGAAGAAGAGCAGTATAGTATGTTTTCACAATACAATGAGAGAGAAGAATATAAAATAATTTGTAGGTATTTCATGAGCAGATGGGCTAATACTTTCTGGGTATAATAATCAGAAACTTGGGTCTGAAAACCTGCACAGATCTGATAAAGCTACAAGATTTGAAATGAGGTGAGGCTCAGCAGTTCAAAACTTTGAAAAGGGGTGAGGAAAAAACAAAATTCATACCTGCAAAGGAAAAAAGACCCAGTGTGGAAAACTGTAACAATTACAAAACCCAGACAGTGTAATATATTGGAAATATTTGAACTTGAATATTTTGAATCACGGAGCTGTGAACAGTGTGAGCTGGATATGCAGTGTCTAATTACTGTTTTTAACAGAACTGGGTCAGTACTCTATGAAATATGTTTCTTTAAATGTACATCCTTTTGCTGCTTAGTGTTTACACCATTCAGCAAATTTTCAGTGTTTAAGCTACCATTTACTAATGACCGAATACACTGTAAGCTTGACCTACTTTCTTGTATCAGCAATGTATCTACTCCCCAGGAGAAGAGGGGAGGGGGAAAAAAACCCTATGAAGAGCTGTGCCTAGCAGGCCATAAAGGATCAAATAATAAAGTGTTGTGAAATAAAATAGAAAATATTTGTTTATAAATAAATGTGCATTTTAGATTTGTTTTCAGTACATTTATGGTAGCTTCTTATTTTTTGGGTATATTATGTGAAATGAGCATTTGTTCCTGTCTAAAACCAAAAATAGTAAGTCATCAAATATTTCTTTTGTAAAACAGTTATAATTTTCCTTGTGTTTGACATTATTAATTCCTGTCCTTATTAACTTTTCATATATTAGCTTCTTGCACCTGGAGTAATAAGAAAACATTTAGACAAAGTGCATTATTGGATTTAATGCTTTTAACTATTACATTTTAAAAGCTTTCTTAATTTTTTTTGCTTGAGGCTGAAAATATTAATATCTCCTGTTAAACAAATATAAGGTGATAGTTTATGCTGATAAATTTAAGATAATACCTTATTGTATTAGGAACATTAAACTGTGTACAGAATGGTGGAAAGTGGATTGTTTTGTTTTCCTGAGTTTAATTTGAACACAACTCTTGAGTGTTGGAGTGAAGCAGAATAATTGAGTGAGGTGAGAGCTATCCAAAATAAGTAAATATTTTAATATATTTGTATAGCTTTTACCATGATGATGGCTGCCAATAAAATCTTTACAGTTTTTCCAGTGAGTGTAGATAATGTTGCTTATGGAGAACACCTCATTAAGATTTATTATTTGTAAAAAATGTTAGAAAACTGCAGTGATTATTGTTAATTTACTATGCTAAGGCTATGTCTACACTACAAACTTTGCCTATGTGACTTGCATCGACCATAAAGCTGCTGCAGTTAGTATATCACCTGTGTGTGTGTGTGTGTGTGTGTGTGTGCATGCATACTTGGCTCCTTGCATCGGTGCTACACATATGCACCAGGAGTGGTTTTGTCAATGCAGTATGGTGCACCATGGGTAGGTATCCCTGTGCAACCTGCCATTGTGTAGCGTGCTTTCTTTTAGGAAGTTTTGGCAATTCACGGTGGGACAGAAACGAGTCATGCAGGGCTGACTGGGAGCAAGGGATCAACTTCCCAGCATGCAAGTGCCATTTATATCCCATCATTTTTGCACGTTTTAAAAAAATCCCATTAACCTACTATTATTGCAAGCATAAGATGCATCATCCTCCGGTATTTACAGAGCCTAAGAAGAACTAATCAGCCAGGAACACAATGATTTTGTAGAGGACGTATAGCTGTGAGACACGATGAGAACCAATCCAGGGTTGTTGGTAGCATTCATAGAGCAGTTGCAGATGGTGGAGCGCTGCTTCTGGGACTGAGAAATTAGCACTGACTAGTGGGATTGCATCATAATGCAAGCTTGGGATGATGGGCAGTGGCTGCAAAACTTTTGGAGGTGCAAGGTCACATTCTTGGATCTGTGTGCTGAGCTTGCCCTTGCCCTCTAGCACAGGAACATCAGAATGAGAGCTGCACTGACAGTAGAGAAATGGGTGGCAATTGTGCTGTGGAAACTTACAACATTGGACTACTACTGGTCAATGGGAAATCATTTTGGAGTTGGAAAATCCATTATGGGGTCCATTGTCAAGCAAGTGTGTAGGACGTATTGGATGAATTTGCAGCAGTGGGGTTCTTGAACTGCAGTGGACCAATAGATGGCATGCATATCCCTATTTTGGCATCAGATCGCCTTGCCACAGAGTACATCAACAGAAAGGGCTACTATGTAAGTATTGGTGGATCACTGGGGATGCTTCACTGACATCAACGTGGGCTGGTCAGGGAAGAAGCATGACTCTCCCATCTCTAAGAACAGGACTGTTCAGAAAGCTGCAAGCAGGGGTTCTCTTTCCTGACTGGCCGATTACCATTGGCGATGCTGAAATGCCAATAGTGATATTGGGGGACCAGCTGTGATGTTTCACTCCATATTCTTTATGAAAATGAATATGACATAACTGAGATATACTTTATGCAAGATGGCTCATGTGAGGTATCATTGGGAAGGTTATGATTTAGTGAATGTGATTATTCAATTTGTATGCCTGTATCATTTCTGTATCTGAAATTAGGAATATTGACCATGTATCTCAAATATGTTACTTTGGGTGTCACCCCCAACTAGCCCTTCAGGTACAACAATGGAAAAGCCAGACAGGGCTAATGGCCCATTAGCAAAAACAATGGACTGTGAAAGAGCTTAGTCTTCTTGTGGATGCTCCAGACAGCTTACGAGTAATGGCTGCCACAGCCCTGCAGAGACATGGGTCTGAGTCACTTAGTACTGGACCCACCCCTTGGAATGCCAGTGTTCTTCCACAAGAGCTATATAAGGCAGGGGAGTGATCTCATCGAGGTTCTCCTCTGCCTCCCCACCCAAAGAGAGACTGAAAAACACCGGGAAGCAAGAAGTGAACTGGGGGGTGGGGGGAAGAAGGCTTGCGCCTATGCTGGAAGGGCGTCTAGCTTGTGAGTAACAATACTTGAGGTGTCAAGCTGGAGACCAGTGCAGCTGTCTTTCAAGACTTTCTGTAATCTGCCTGCAATGATATCTAGGGTGAGAAATTACTGTTTGTAACCAATTTCTTTAGTGAAACAAGCTTAGTTTGCGTGTTTGGTTTTATTTGTTTAGTAATCTGCTTTGTTCTGTCTTTTATATTCACTTAAAATCCACTTTTTGTAGTTAATAAACTTATTTCTTCTTTATAATAAAACCCAATTTGTACAATTCATAATTGGGGAGGATAAGAGGCTGTGCATACCTTTCTCCACATTGAGAGAGGAGGCGGATTTTATGATATACCTTTGGGTCTGCACTCCAAGGGAGGTGGACACCTGAGTGCTGGGGCAAGTCCCTTAAGATGAGCCTTCCCAGAACTGATCTCAGTGTCTGTTTTGTTCTGCAGTTGGGTGTGGCCCTGCCTGTGTGTGTGCTGGAGAAGGCTTAATAGCCTAGCACAGCAAGACAGGTAAAAAGGGTGCCCAGGCGGGCTCAGTGGTATCTCAGCACATCAGGTGGCACCTTAAGGGGTCCAACCTGTCACACCAGCCTCCCTCTTGCTCCTCTGACTTATGAAGCCATACACTGACCACCTCGAGTGCACCAATGAAATATTCAACTACCAGCTCAGCAGGTGCAGAATGACAGTTGAATGAACTTTTGGTAGATTGAAGGGATGCTGGCATTGCTTACTCATAAGATTGGACCTCAATGAAAAAACATCCTAAAGGTTATAGCTGTCGTGTCCTGCATAATATCTGTGAAACAAATGCACCTATTAATTTTGCAGTGCTTG